CATCATCCTCTGTCACTCATCTTCAGTTGCTCGTTTCTGTTCAATTATCATCACCTGAAATGGCTCACCTCGTTTACCTCCCATGCATTCCACAGTCATCACCTGACATCATTTTTCAATACGGGATTCAGACAGCCATTTCCTTTCCCAATTATGACTGATGGCAATTAACTGGAATTAGAATATTCATGCCAGCCTACCCAGGAAATTTGCCACCCGATGCTGATCACAGCGATCATAACCACTAATAGGAGCCCTGCTCATATGCTCACCCAACTCCTTCTCCTTAAACTTCAGACCTTCAATGGACAAATGAAGGCATAGTCATCTAAGAATTAGATTCTCTGAAAAGGTCCTCAGCACATGATGGCTACTGAAATAATAGACTTGAACATCTGGTTCTGAATGGTTCCATATAAAACAGATTGATATGGAGGATGCACCCCACCACCAGGTATTTGGAATTCATACACTTCCAAAATGACATTTGAAATTAATCTGCGTTCAAACTGGACTCAGTCTGAGTAAGTGGAACATCACATCCCCAATGGTGTCATTGGGCTACAGACTTGAAAAGCATCCCCTTCAACAACAGATGCATCCGAAGTGGGTCACCAGCTGGGATGGAGCCACTACACTATCTTCTTGGAATGTGGGTTGTTGTAGCTTACAGGAAGGGGCAAGCCAGCAGGGATATCAGCGCAGGGCAAAGCTACCAGTGGAACCAATCCAGAGCTTCTGCTGGTACGTTTGCACCATGGAGACCTCTTCGCCAATTAATACCGAAGCCTAGGACTAAAAATACTAAAGGCAGACTCAAACTTGATGTCAAAATATTATTTCAAATCACCATAACAAGAGAATAGAATGAATCACAATAGCAGGTCTCATTTCTCACCAGTTCAAAACAAATCAGCAAATTTTAAATCCAGATTTCCTACCAGAATTGAAGGGGAGCAAAACCAACAGTATGTCTGAATTAGAGAACTGTTCCCCTCCGCTCTTCATCAGCGGTGGCTTATGGGCCAAAAGAGAATGCTGCTGTATAGCCAATCTCCTTTTAAATATCGCCAGACTCTGTAGTAGTTGGTGCTGCATATCAGCAAGATATCCTTTTCCTTAAAAGAGATTTAAATGTAATAGGGCTGCAGGGAGGGAACAGATTAAATTGCTTCATGGGTCACTTCTGGCCTACAGGCTGCCTGTTGCAGGAAGATGGACCAGTTGATGTCATTGATCTTCTCCTCTTTATCATCATCAGGAATGTTCCTGGCTTGAAGACATAGCTGGATGAATTTTATACTCATTGATCTAAGCCAGCCTATTTTCTAATTTGAACATAGTCAGGAAATAATTGAATGACAATTAATCACTGCAGCTTTTGGAAAACTGCTTTTTTTTTTTTCAGCTGCTGCACAGGGGAAAAAAAATAAGGTTCCATAACTCATTTCTGCCAAAACAAAAAATAAAAATGGAATATGCAGCCGATTGGTTTTAATAACAAGAAGTTAATGAAAACAGTGATTTGTATTTTAAAAAACATTAATCAATTACAAAAAGGCGTGTATTTTAAACCAAATCCTTTCCATTCTGTGCACAGTTTGTGAAGGTCTTCAACCCTAGGAAGTGAAGACTGACTATGAATGAAATAATAGACCCATAATAGATGACTCCGGGGGACATCTAGTCCAACCGCCTGCAATGCAGGAATCTCAGCTAAAGCATCCATGACAGATGGCCATCCAACCTCTGCTTAAAATCTTCCAGGGAAGGAGAGTCCACAACCTCCTGAGCGTGACTGTTCCAACGTCAAACAGCTCTTCGTGCCAGAAAGTTCTTCCTGATGTTGAGTCAGAATCATGGGAGAGGAAGAAAGAGCACAGAAACTTCTGCTGTCTTGCATGGAGTCGGATGTAGCTTGCTGTACAAACCTAAGAGTCACGTCCGTTGCACCACCTGGGCTTTCAAATGGCCCCTCGACTGTGACAGCCTGTTCCCAGCAAAGTGGTGAGCAGAGAATGATACCTGCAGTCTGCAGGTGATACCTGAAGTCTGCACAGCCCTAGGAATGAATCACATTATCTCAGCGTTTAGGGGGTCCTAAGAATTCCTGGGCAACACCGGGTACAGAATGTAATGCTTACTTTGTTTTAGATAAGTGGTGATAAGCTCTTTCTTACACATGTGCATCGATGCATGGGCACAAATTATTATATATACAAAAGCTACCCAATTTGATGGGTCTGGTTCGCCATGCTGCATCTTCTTTGGCCTTCCCCAACCTCCAGATGTTGTTAGACTACAACCCCACCCCACCCCCAATCTGTGATCACAGAATGTGTATATGCATTGTCTTGGAAAAGGCTGAAACACCTTATTTTCTCTGCATGGAAACAGCCAATCAACCAATCAAGAGGTTTGAAAAGACCCTTGGCGCAAAGGCTTCTGATGAGACCCAAGTAGCTGTTCGCTCCTTTGTAAGAGAAGATCATTTGAACAATGTCTGTCTCTCTGACTTTGCTGCTGTACCAGTTCATAATGGGTCAGGAGGTGGCTTGTTCTAGACTGTGACCTTGCTCTAAAGCAGCCTTTCTCAACCTGTGGGTCCCCAGATGTTGTTGAACTACAAATCCCATCATCCCAGCAAGCAAGGCCAGAGCTCAGGGATGATGGGAGTTGTAGTCCAACAACATCTGGGGACCCACAGGTTGAGAACCGCTGCATCTAAAGGGTTTAGTTTCATCTGGCTGAGCCTTATGTTGCATCAAAATATTTATATTTTTTGCCATGCTACAATAACAAAAATGTATGGTTTCAGACAGATACATAAGAAACCCCCATGGGTTTTAGAGCTCTCTGTGATTTGAACGGTTCGTCACCCCAACGGCCAAGTTAAAAGCAAGGGCCGTAGTTGTGGAAATACGAAAATGCTCCACTTAGACCAGCACAAGCACCATGATAGAGATTTAGTGCGGCTAATCATAATGGTGCTCAGGCACATGGAGGTGTTGGGGAAGAAGTCGTTTTATCAAAGTGACAGCTTGATGGTGCATAGATACGGCTCTGTTATGACTCCCATGTCATGTTTGCTCAGTTTAATCAGGCAGGCAGCATTCTTGTTATCATCCACCTTTTGGGGCGGAACAAGCTGTGCATTGGGGGCAATCTGAATTTAGTCTCACATGTTCATGTTACATTGCCGGTGACAAGCTTCTCAAAGACAGAGTTAGCACTGGTAAAGACTGATATGGAAGTCAATCCCCATTACCACCAGCACCCACCCACTTGCCTGGCCTTTGCTCTTGTCGGCTTTTTAATACATCAGTGGTAGTCAGAAGGTAGATCAGAATTAACTGGTAGATCTAGGGGTGAAAACTCACCCGCCAGCAAATTAGAGGAGGCAGATTGCAGGGAGACACTTCACAACATTTGCCATTTACTCCTCTGGAATAGGAGGGCATTGGCAGAAAGTACAGCATTGCACTTGGAGCTATGAGCTCTTTTCAGGTGGTCAGCCTGATCATGTGTTAAGAGCCAAGGGGTGCATGTGCGGGCTTCACCCACAATGTCCCCTGCATCACCTGAGCTGAACAACTTCAGAAGCCTCTGCACAATAGTAAAGGTAAAGGGACCCCTGACCATTAGGTCCAGTCATGGTTGACTCTGGGGTTGCAGCGCTCATCTCGCTGCATTTATTATTTATTGGCTGAGGGAGCCGGAGTACAGCTTCCAGGTCATGTGGCCAGCATGACTAAGCCGCTTCTGGAGAACCTTCCCGCCGGAGTGGTACCTATTTATCTACTTGCACTTTGACGTGCTTTCGAACTGCTTGGTTGGCAGGAGCAGGGACCCAGCAATGGGAGCTCACCCCTTCGCGGGGATTCAAACCACCGACCTTCTGATCAGCAAGTCCTAGGCTCTGTGGTTTAACCCACAGCACCACCCACACAATAGGAACCCTGAAAATGAAGAACTTCCAATGGCAAGAAGACATCAAAGGCCATTTAGCTGAACGTTTCAGCCTTTTTCACCCAGGTCCAAAGAGGCAAAAGCAGGTCCTGTGATGTCAAGTGATTGACAAGTGACAATCTCCACCCATTTGTAGAACCTGACCCATGTGGGTGATTGGGATCCTGCTCACTGGCTATATGAAGTTCCTCTCACCTGCACTAAATGCATAAAGATCAGAGTGAAGTAGGGAGTGTGGGGCCAGCACATGAAAACCATGCCTCAAGCGCATATTGGGTTTGTTGAATGCTTGAGATGATGACAGCAAATCTGCCCCCTGAGCGACTTTGAGCATATACAGTGGTATCTTGGGTTAAGAACTTAATTCGTTCCGGAGGTCCGTTCTTAACCTGAAACTGTCCTTAACCTGAAGCACCACTTTAGCTAATGGGGCCTCCCGCTGCTGCCGCACCGCCGGAGCGCAATTTCTGTTCTCATCCTGAAGCAAAGTTCTTAACCCAAGGTACTATTTCTGGGTTAGCAGAGTCTGTAACCTGAAGCATCTGTAACCCGAGGTACCACTGTATATCAAAATAGAAAGGAATGTGACAAAGCAGCATTGCTTTATCCCCACACCCCCGAAAAGAGCATGATCAGATTAGAGGAAGACCAGATGCACATTGCTCCTCCTTTGCACCACGGCACCGAAGGGTCCCCACTAATTGCTTCACAGCGGGCCTTTGCAAAAAGACGCCGAAAATTGAGCTGTGTAATCTGGAAGTCCTCTATCAACTCTGTTCAGTACAGCAGGAATTCAGCTTTCATTCAATTACTGCGCACTTACTCAATAGGAGCTTTGCCTGAAGAAAGATGGGAAGTTTTGGCCATGGATTCCTGCATTATCAACTTCAAGGTGCACCTTGCTCGAAGCTTTTCTCCTGCCTCCTGTCCAAGTCATCCCTGAATGCCTTCCACATCACAAAGAAAAGGGTGCCAAATGGCAATGTAGCTAGTAGAATTAATAGACCTTTGCTCTTACTCTCCCAGACACCCCCTGCTTTACTGGGGCTTTAAAAAAAATTAATTGGGATCCCCATACAGTAAAACCAATATATCAGTTCCACTGTCTTCTGTACAATAGCTCAGGGTTTGCAGAGACAAAGCAGAAGGGGATGCATGGCCATTCAGAATGATGTGATTGCATCATGGAGGGCGTTGAGCAAGTCTGAAGGGGCAATCATAGGCAGGGAAGATGTGAGATTTCTTTGGACTCAACTCAGAACAGGATTTGCTCCTCTCTGTGTCTGCAGCTACCCCGGTCTTCCTGCCAGTCTCTCCTGCAAAAAGAAAAAAAAGGGAGGGGAGAGCCTTGCATTGGAGCTGGTCATGGACATGACATGAGAAGACATGTAAGCACTTTCCACAGCTGGAAATGGTCCTTGAAAAATGTCATATCTTATCAGGGATCATGACACTTGCATGGCTGGAAACAGCTTTCCTTAACCATCTTGCTTTGTTTCTCTCAAGCTGGAATGCAACAGATGTCCATTGTGCTGTAAGCTCAACACAATCTCCTCACCATTAAGCTGGAGTGCTCCTTAATTGTCTACAATGCTTCTCCTACCCTCTCTTCTCAGGTATACACACACACGCATGCACGCTCCCTTTATGAGTAAGTCATGCCGGATGAATCTCATTTTTTAACAGTTACAAGCTTGGTAGATAATAGGAATGCTTTGAATGTAGTGTATCTTGATCTGGATTTGTATCTGGTGGACTGAGCAAGGCCCAAAAGTGCTTACTAATGATTACTCATCATCCTGGGGGAAAGTGACAAGTAGGGTGTCACAGGGTTCTGTTCTTGTTAATGTCTTTATAAATGACTTGGATAAAAGTATTGAGGGGATATCAAATTTGCAGATAACACCAAATTAGGAGGGTTAGCTAACGTGGCTGAAGACAGAATCAGGATTCAAGATTACCTTAACAGATTGGAGAATTGGCCAAAACTAACAAAACAGATTTCAGTGGGGACAAATGTAAGGTTCTACACTTCGACAGGAAGAAATAGCTGCACAAATATAAGATGGGAAACAACCAGATTGCCAGTAGTACATGTGAAAAGGATCTAGGGGTCTTAGCAAGTCTGCTGTCCCGTTCAAGGGAAGTCATAGCACCTCTCTATTCTGCCTTGGCCAGACTACACCTGGAATACTGTGTCCAGTTCTGGGCAACACAATTTATCAAGGATATTGATAAACTGGAATGTGTGACGAGGAGTGCAACCAAGATGATTAAGGGTCTGGAAACCAAGCCTTATGAGGAATGGTTGAAGGAGTTGGGTATGTTTAGTCTGGTAAAGAGGAAACTGAGAGGAGTTATGATAGCCATCTTCAAATATCTTAAGGGCTGTCACATGGAGGATGGAGCAAGCTTGTTTTCTTTTTCTCCAGAGGGTAGGATCCAAAGCAATGTCTTCAAGTTATAAGAAAGGAGATTCCAACCAAACATCAGGAAGATGGCCCTCTGCAATTCAATGATTCTATGAAATGCATTTGCTTATAAACATACAAAGCCACTTTGCTAAATCATCGGCTTTGCTGTTTTGACAGAACTGTGAAGAATTCTTGAAAGGGAAAAGATACATTCTAGTGAGTTAATTTTTTCAATACATAATTGATGTTGATAGACTGAAGTTCCAGAAACACACCTGCTTTGTTTATTCTGTTCTGTTGAGCTTCCCTTTTCGAAACTTGCTCTGTGGCTGTTCCACCTAAGAGGCTAATAAGCACATGAAGCATTAAATGAAAAACGGGAACCTGAAGCAGAGGAAAGATATTTCCAGAGTTTGCATAAGTTTCTGTTGCTAGGGAAACAATTTATTCATCTCTGAAGAGCACGGGGTGTCTTGAACATCTGCCTCATTTGCAAGCCTGGTTTTGTAGCATATAGGTGGCATCGATGCAACCAGAAACACAATGCAAACAAATTAATTTCTCCTTTATTAAAAGAAATACGTGCCTTTTCTTATGCACAGTGATCCTTTTATCTGGAGAGAGAAAACTTCCTTAGCTGTGAAGTCCTGACTTTTGCATGCACAAAAAGCACAAATCCATGATTTTGATAAAACATCATCATTATGGGTCCCGCGTGGTTCTCCCAAAGAAGGAAGATATTATCTCCTGTGCCCTGGCCTCAGTCCAAGTTGGGTAATTGCATTCTGCCTAATGTACCTAGAATCCCCTGCTGCTTTGATAGGATAAGGAAGCCGCTTCTTCTCCCTGTGTAGAAGTGTTGAGTAGCTTAGCTCATAGAGTAATAATGACTGTTGTGTTGCGCCCCAAAGCCCCAAACAAATGGCATCGTCTCACCCTAGAGCCAACAGTACAAATTAATGTGCTGTTTGATTGCTGTCAGTTGCCTAAACTGCTGAAGTGCAACTTAAAAAAACCCAGCATTTTAATATGTAGTGTATAGTAATCATCTTTGGAAATTAGCATCTGATCTTAAATATCCAAGATAATAAATCATGCACTCCCCCCCCCCCCGAAGCTGGTTTTTGAGTCCATTCGCTTGTATGGTAAGGCCATCTCAGTGACATTTGAAATCTGTCTGAAATCCTGGAGAGGTGCAGTCAGTCAGCTTGGAGAGTAGAGCTTCGTATGAGTTCATGACAGCTTGCTAGAATCAGCACTTCTTATAGATAGGCCAGGTGAATGGAGAAATGAGATGATATAATAATAATAATAATTATAATAATAATTATAATAATAATAATAATTTTTATTTATACCCGGCCAGGGTGGCTAACACCAGTAAAATTGCAATAAAAACAATTAAAATACAGGTTAAAACATTATTAAAATACAAGTTAAAATACAATTTAAAATGTACCCTCATTTTAATAGTAGCCCATAGATCAAAACCATAAGGGGAGGGAAAACATAAGGGTCAGACTGAGTCCAAAACAAAGGCCAGGCAGAACAGCTCTGTCTTGCAGGCCCTGCGGAAAGATGTCAAGTCCCGCAGGGCCCTGGTCTCTTGTGACAGGGCATTCCACCAAGTCGGGGCCAGGACTGAAAAGGCCCTGGCCCTAGTTGAGACCAATCTAACCACCTTGTGACTTGGGACCTCCAAAATGTTGTCGTTTGTGGACCTTAAGGCCCACCAGGAGAGGCGGTCCCGTAGGTACGAGGGTCCTAGGCCGCATAGGGCTTTAAAGGTCAAAACCAGCACCTTAAACCTGACCCTGTATTTCACTGGGAGGCAGTGCAGTTGGTATGAAGGGTCATGTGCCCTTTAGAGATAAGGACAACTGGGTCCCCATGTTAGCCACAAGACACTGGCTCAGCACGGGAAGATCTTAGCCACCACACCCTTTGCAATCCACCACTTGTTATGACTGCTCCCCTGACCTTGCCAGACATAGACAAGGTCATGGGAAGGTGACCCTAAGCCCAAGTGGTCAAGTGTTGCCAGCACTCCCAGATCAAAGATCAAGCCCACCTACGACAAGCAGGAATCTCAGTGCAGATCTTGCTGTTGACACCTGTTCTGTACCTCTCACCTGTCAGAGGTTTGACCCTTTGCCTGCCCAGGAAGGGAAGACGATTCTCTGGCAACATATGGGATGATAAGACGTTGTCCATTTCTTCTTTCTTTCCCTCATCCTTTAAATAAAACCTGTTAAAACTTTGGTGGTTTCCATAGTCTAGCTGAATTCTAAGAACTATTGTTTTAGGCTTCCAGAACCTTTGGCAGAACACCCAGCCAACAAAATCAATGGGCATGTAATGATGGGAGTAGTAGTTTAATAACGCACCAGGTTGTGGGAAGCAGTGATGCTCCTATTGTTTCCCTACTTGGGAAATAAATGAAAAGGAGGAGAATGCTGTTTGGGGGGAGGGTGAGCTTGTAGAACATCATCTTGCCAACAAAGGTCCGTATAGTTAAAGCTATGGTTTTCCCAGTAGTGATGTATGGAAGTGAGAGCTGGACCATAAAGAAGGCTGATCGCTGAAGAATTGATGCTTTTGAATTATGGTGCTGGAGGAGACTTTTGAGAGTCCCATGGACTGCAAGAAGATCAAACCTCTCCATTCTTAAGGAAATCAGCCCTGAGCACTCACTGGAAGGACAGATCATGAAGCTGAGGCTCCAATACTTTGGCCACCTCATGAGAAGAGAAGACTCCCTGGAAAAGACCCTGATGTTGGGAAAGATGGAGGGCACAAGGAGAAGGGGACGACAGAGGACGAGATGTTTGGACAGTGTTCTCAAAGCTACCAGCATGAGTTTGACCAAACTGCAGGAGGCAGTGGAAGACAGAAGTGCCTGGCGTGCTTTGGTCCATGGGGTCACGAAGAGTCGGACACAACTAAACGACTAAACAAAGAGCTTGTAGAAATCACTGGTGATGATGCTGGGAATGGACAGTTGGGGGACAGGGATGCCCCTCTGACTCAGATTTTTGTCCCAGTTGGGGAAAAGCATTAGGGACGATGTCCATCTCTTCTTTGAGGCAAACCAGCCCCCATGGACCATTTCCCTACTCAAACCTGGCAGTCCGCCAGCATCTCTAATTGAGATATATATGCACATTGACACACACAATATATGCATATGCACTTGTCATTTTGTTTAGCACCGTTCTTGACATAACTGAACTATCCCTTTATATCTCAGTTTTCATTGTGGAGAACTCATCTGACATCACTAACATCCGGGGGGTGGGGCAGGGTAGGAGGGAAGAGATGGTAAATGAAGCCAAACTTGTAGGATTCGAATTCTCCCAAGCAGGAAGCGAGAAAGAAATCTTATATCCATACCAAAGTACTATCCCATAATACTGAATTGCTAGGCAGAGCTACAACATAATGGAAATGAATGTGATTGATAGCAGGTGTCAGTCACAGGGGGTAATTTTTATAGTGAAATAGATACCTCATAAAACTTTGACATAGGCTGACCCTTCACATGAAAAAAGTAAGGGAAATTGAAGATAAAGATGAAACAGTAATAAAACTGGGAGTTATATTTGGACCGTCCCCAGGGATGTGGGAACACAAGCCACAGGGCATTTTCAGCTTAGTATAGACTCAGCAGTGGAAAGCAATAATCATGCATGGTTAAGATAAGACAGCAAGAACAATTCTGCTAAGTCACACATATTGTACAGGTATCTCTTAGATGTGTATTTGACCGCGCTTAGAACAGAGGTGGTGAGCATAGGCCCCTTCAGATGTTGCAGACTACAAAACGTATCAACCCCGGCCAGCATGACTAATGGTCAGAGATGATGGGTGTTTGTAGATCTCAAGCTCTGGAGGGGACCAAGAGATCTACTCTGACTTTGGAACATATGTAAACGATCATATCCTTCATTTATGTCCCACTGTTAAAGATGGAACCAGTCTTTGCAATTCGTGGGTCAGGTGGCAAGAGTTGAGGTGTGCCTTTAAAAAAAGAAGTTTCAGTACCCCCAAGAAATGTGCATTTTGAACATAGAATCAAAGAGCTAGGACCCCAAGGTTCATCTAGGTATATAATACTTCTTGAAATACATACAGTGGTACCTCTGGTTAAGAACTTAATTTGTTCTGGAGGTCCGTTCTTAACCTGAAACTGTTCTTAACCTGAAGCACCACTTTAGCTAATGGGGCCTCCTGCTGCCTCCCCACCGCTGCGGTGCAATTTCTGTTCTCATTCTGAAGTAAAGTTCTTAACCCGAGGTACTATTTCTGGGTTAGCGGAGTCTGTAACCTGAAGCGTCTTTAACTTGAGATACTACTGTATTTAAATGCTATTTTTGCAAAGCATTTTTAATGCGCACTCATTAAGGAAATGGGACCGAATGGGCTAAACACTATCATCATCATCACTATTAAAAATATGTAATTTAGCACCTGACCTGCTTTATATAAAATGAAAATGTCTCTGTGCACTCCCCATTCACTATAATGGGGAATCTTAAAATGGCTAAAACCTTTTCCCTGTTTTGCCCCAAGAGGATGAAAGGAACAGGAATGGGAGCCCCTCTAGTGTGGATTAAGCCTGCCAAATTGCAAATGAAAGGAAAGGAAGGCCAGGGACCTTTTTATGGGGGAAGTAAACAGGGTTCACTTTCCTCCATAATCCCCTATTGGGCAGGAAGTGTGGGGTGTGGTTGCCTCTTTCATTTGGGGGGGGGGTGAAGTGAAGTTTGCCTCTTGCTTTTTCTTACTGAGCTAGTGTGTAACCTAGCTTGTACAGTGGTACCTCGGTTTACATACCCTTCAGGTTACATACGCTTCAAGTTACAGACTCCGCTAACCCAAAAATAGTACCTCGGGTTAAGAACTTTGCTTCAGGATGAGGACAGAAATCGTGCTCCAGCGGTGCGGCAGCAGCAGGAGGCCCCATTAGCTAAAGTGGTGCTTCAGGTTAAGAACAGTTTCAGGTTAAGAGCGGACCTCCGGAATGAATTAAGTACTTAACCCGAGGTACCACTGTATATGTTTACAAACTTGCCGCTTCACCCTGGCCTTAATTTCCAGTGCCCTCTGATAGACCACACAAGCCTTCGATAAATAATTCTAGAACACTGCCAGGGGCATTCTGAAGAGCTCTGTTTTTGTTAATGGAGAGCAATGTAGGATTGTGTTTTTGCTTCTTCAGCTTAAATGAAGCTTTCAGCTTCCTTATTTATTTATTTTTTAAAAAATCATCCGCTGCTGTGTTTTACAACCACAGCAGCAGCAACCAATCCAGATCCCTTCAGTTCTCCACGGGCAACATTTTAGACAGCCTCACTTTGGGCAAAGCCTGTGGACCTAGGGAAACACCAGGCTGTACACAAACATCCAGCTATTCTGTACAGAAGAACAGAGTAACAGGACCCTCTGTGTTTGCGTGGGGGGGCTGTGTTCTGACTCGAGGGAGGGTTATTAACATTATGCTACAACTTGGGAGGGGTGCCGTGGCCCCGAATCACCCCAAATTTGCCTTGCCTTTTGGTCACCGCACAGAGCCTACTGAATCATGGAAAGAGTATATAAGAGAAGACACAAAACTACAAAATGCTCTTCATCCAGCCATTTCCTACATGCGGATGATTATTGCTGCTTCCCAACTCACTAGAATGTGCTAATTTTCTTTTCGTTACAAAGATGCTGAGGATGCTGCATAGGAATTCAGCACAGAGTGAATGGAGCGATTCGGATAATTGGGGTGTGGATAGCTGGAGTTCTTTTGTGTTAGTTAATGGTTAACATAACTTAAGAGGTGATTAAACAAAGCCACTGTAAGAGTAGCTCAGGGGACTCAATCGTCTAATTGCCTTTCTACCGGCATATGCCAATCTTTTATAATAAGCATAGCAATGATTCATAACAATAAGAAACAGTTCCCTCGGTGTTCGCTATTTTATTATATAGATGCCAATTATGTTGGCTGGGGCAATCATCTATTATACCAGTGGCTCAATTGATTGCCATGCTACAGAGGGTTATGCTTTCATATATCATACTCAGTAGGGCTAGTAAAGTACTTGGATTGCTTTCATTTCTTAGACGCACTACAGCTGTGCTTGACCTTATTTGGAGACTTCTCTGGTTTCCAAGGAAGGCAAACTCCCAACCCCCACCCCCATTGCCTGTGCTATAGCTAACAAAAGAAATAATTCATTTTATAGATCCCAAATCACAGCCTTTGTGAAGGGGAGACAGCTGAGAATATTCCTAGAACTGGAGAGTCTTTCATTGGGGCAGCAGAAGTGGGGTGGGTGGCTTTGGGGTTGGGGAGATAGCGCAATCATAGAGGCAATCGGTGGAAACAGCCAGCTCCAAATCTTGATAAACACCGGGCGAAATGCAGGAATGTATAATTCACTTCTTGAAGGTAATTACAGCCCAATCAGCCTCTGTTTCCCGTTCAGGGTTAAATAGTACATTGTCAGACTTCTAGGAAATTTTTAGGATGCCTTGCCACTGGAAAACCTTTCCCAGATGTTATCTCTCACTTGGAGAATTGGGCCGTGTCTGTGCAGGACTAGGTCCCAGATCAACTGAAATTATATCTTTATTTAATCCGATTACATTTCTATGTAACCTCCCATCCATCATGGAACCCAAGGCAGGTTATAGTGTATGTAGTTGCCGGTAGTTACCCAGATCTGTTTAACTCCACTGGTGGAGTTAAAGCTGGTGGCTGAGTGTTTCTTCAGACCATGTTCTGGTACCTGTGAGCTAAGTCTGTTGATTCCAATGGGTCTGCTTTGGGAAATGTATATATAGATATATAGATATAACCTTCATATAGTTCTGCACCTACCATGAGTAAGGTCAGTTGACTGGGTGAATGGGTGAATACTCTGCGAATACTCATTTGAATGAATTACATATCCATCAGGCTGAAGCTGTGGGAGAGATCAGGGCCTTTCTATCAGCTCTGCTGGAAGATCAGTTCCATCAGGTTCCTTCTCCCATCAACTGGCATGCGGCCATAGTAGAGGGAGAGATGAGAAACAGTCATTTTATTGTCTTTGCTAGCAGGCAAGCTCTATTTGGCTTGTCATCTCCCAGAACTGTTCCATTGTGGCTGCAACTTTAAGAATGGGCGTCTGAGGTTGCTTAATTTCCTTTTTCCTTCTCATCCCATTTTTGTGCCATATCTTATAACTTTTTCTGCATCCTTTTTGGCTAATCCTTCTAGATATGAATAGTTGGTTGCAGTCAACCTCTTC